ACAACCTACGGTGACCTACTTACCACTGGCTATCGTGCAGGTCACGGGTTCAACTCCAGGGAACTGTACAGATACTGTACACAGGTAAGCTGAGGTCAAGGGATCGACCCCTGGGATCTGCATCGGCTACTGCCAAAGGTGAAAACTGTTTCAAAAGGCATCAACACTATTTATTGATGCGGCCCCTGGGGGTCGACGTTCAGTCTTGCCTTGCTGCTTGACGCTGGCTTGTCGCTGGCAAGACGCTGGCAAGACGCTGGCAAGACGCTGGCAAGACGTCGGCAAGACGCTGGCAAGACGCTGGCTCCAGGCTGGCATTGTGCGACGACGATGCGAGACTGCTGCTTTGCTTGCTGGCGCCTCTCTGTGTCTGTTGCCAGCTGTCTTCTTGGATGCTGATGTGACACTTGCCACACTGTCTTTGCCATTGCTGACCTGGCGCATGCCACACTGCCTACGATACAGATTGGGATGCAACAAGGAGGGTGATCAGGATCTGTGGGATTGATTGAGTGAGAGTGGGGAAACTTACCTGTTGATGCTGTCAACATTGAGCGCTGCAGAGACGTCTTCATGGGAGAACTGTCTACGTGGCACTATGTTGTGATCAGATCTGGTCAGGCTCGTTTCTGGGAGACTGTTTGCTGACGTGGATGTGGGGTGACGCCCGAAGGAGTGGGGAATGAGGGTGTTCTGTCTACGTGGACATTGATGGATACATACTCTTCCACCCTAGTCTAATCTCCTTCCTACCGCCTTCGTCCTATGGTTACGAGACATTGTATTACACATTACATTTCACGACTATTGGAGACATTTATCAGCGCTGAGTTATCTTGTATTTCGACAATTGACGAGTTTCCTCCTGACTGGCTTCATTACAGCTGTGATAGCAGTCAGAGACATTCTGGAAAGTACTACAGTCTTCCCCCGAATACAACGTACGGTCATTATAGCTGAATTTAGACGGAAAGGTAGACCAAATTCAGCTATAATGACCGTACGTTGTATTCGGGGGAAGACTGTAGTGTGAGTATGCCCTAAGTGAGGGAGTTTCCAAGCATATGCAAATAGCCCTGCCTTGTTGGCAGGGCACTAARAAACCAAAAAAAAAAAAAAAAAAAAAGATTTGGCCGTAATAGTGGTTAGATACATTCTGGAAGTATTAGAGAGAGAGGAGTGGGGGGAGGGGGGGGGGGGTGGGCGGTGGGGGGTGTTTGTGTGGCACTTTACCTCCTTTCATGGCGATGGTTGACAACTTTGATGGGGATGTGTGGTTAACAGACAGTTTGGGTTCAGGTGGCCATGGGTGGTTTCAAAAAGTGTCCATGGGCAGGTATGGGCAGTTCAAATCTGAAGAGGTTCAGGTAGGGCAGGTATGGGTACGCGTCTTTTTCTTTTGGAGCAGGTAGAGATGGGTAAAGGTCCGGTAGGGCATGCATACAGTGGGTATGGGTGGTTGGTTTTCAAAGAAGGTGCGGTTAGGTTGGGCACAGGCATTCCTAAAAGTCCCAGTCGCCAACTCTGCTAACCGGAAACAACAAAAAAATATATAGAAAATACGAAATGAAAAAGAAAGAAAAACAAAATGGAAAACAAATTTGTCGGGCCCGTTATCTTCAAACACGAGTCAATGAGCCAGTGAAGAATATAAGCTTATGGTACGGATGCAATGCTACTAATGTTGCGCAACTCCGTACGAGCTGATAGTAGTGGATGATACACTGATAGTAGTGGATGACACACTGACTTTTGCAGTGGCCCATGTTTCTGCTGTATATTGTCTGAATGTTTTGGATCATGTTGACGTTTATTGCAGAACGATGCATTGCTGGCCTATCAAGTGGCATTTGACCTCTTTGAGAATGAATTTCAGCAGTTCCTTCTCAATGTGCGTGATCGCTTGCCGGACCCAAGGGCACAGGCAACCGCAGTGTTGGAGATGGATGCCGAGGCTGCGGTTTCGGGTGCAACAGGCTCTCGAACGGCTGAGAATGGTGCAGATGAACTTAGGCAAGGTGATGAAGGGACGGCGATGGAGACAGAAGATGATTCCAGGGCACAAAGGGGCGAGGAGCCTGCTGAGACCAGTAATGGATCATTTGAAGGCAGAGAAAGCGACCAGGATTCTGTGGTATATCGGGACAGGATGTCCAAGCTCAAGGCAGTTCTTTCGGGGGAAACGCCTATCAACTTGACGTTACAGTTCTTGTACAGTCATAACAAGTAAGGTCCCCGACATGCAGACATTTTTCTATATCTGGGCAACGGTTTGGTATTGCATTTCGTGTATAGTCACACTATATAAGGCTGCTGGCAGCTCCTTCGTTGCTTTGTGAGGTTGGGCGAGCTGTAGTTATGGTGTGGGGTACGTGGATGGTGTTTCGCCTCATCCCTACATGGTGTGGAACTTTGCAGCATTTTTCTTTTTTTCAGGGTTGGGGGCTCACACTGGTGTGTGTGCACCACAACTGCGATGATCTCATGAATTGCCCCACTGCAGGCAACATCAAGGCACCTCGATATCTCTCTTTTTCTTTCTGTGTCTCTCCTCTGGATCGATCGTCTTCTCTCTCTGAATGTCTTCTTCCCTTGTCCTCTGACCCGTACACTCCTAAGCTATGGGTGCCACTGCCGTCCACTACCCCGCTCAACTCTCCCTCAGCCGCACTTGACACTTGACCACAACATGCTTGAATGGGGATTGTGTTGTCCTCTGGTCCCTGACTCCTGGCTGTGGTCGGTTTGATGCTGCCAGTGGTGTGGTCACCAGCCCTCCCCAAGACGACTGGACCCTATGGACGCCGGCATGCTAGTGGGCGTATGGGTTTCGCTGCAATACATGGGACTGGGGCATGGAATCGGGCCTACTGTCGACTCAGCATGAAAAGCAATCTGCAGTTCAGCATTCGAGGGAACGTAATATAATGATTATTGTGAAAGACAGTCTCTGACTGGCCTTCATGAGACCATGCGTGCTGTTTTTTTTTTTTTTTTTTTTTTAATAATTAAATCAGGCCCTTGTGGTCCTTGCTCCATTTCCATTCTGGTGCGCGCCAGTCTGGTTCCTTTTCACCCAGCAAGTCATGTATTACATCATTGACACCCTCACGCTTCCTTCCGGTTGGCCGAAGGACCCCTGACCGGCATTTTGATTGCTCGCTGTTACCAGAGCATTGACTGTCAGCGTGCCTTCTCACGAGTCCCTCGCAGGTGGTTCGGACACAGAGCCTAGGCCATGCATGCTGTTAGGACAGGACAGCGGTGAACTTTTCCCACTGTTTTGCCTGTGTACATTAAGTTTGGATGCAAGATCCCTGTTAGATTCACCTGTTTAACCGGCATTCTGATGGTTGCTGTGAGTTAAGGACACGGAACTTGACGTAACCCAGTGGGTAATGTGCCTTTTGGTTGTGTGTAACTCAATCTTCCACACCGTCTTTGGTACGAAGGTGATGTCAAGGGGGTCCTTACAAGAGCATGCATCCTGTAATGATAGTTGAGCTGTGAATACCTTTTTTTTATGCACACCGAATCTGTCACACCAGCATTGGTTTGGACTATGTGCTCCATGTGGGCATGTGGGCATGTGTGCAGCAGCAAATGTGGCATGAATTGCAGTCTCTTCTGTGCTGTCTTGCAGTACTCAAGATCTATTGGAATTGGCTTCCCATTCGCGCTTTTGTCGCCACATTTGTTTTCTCTGTTTGGATGCTATATGTACGTACTTGCTACATTCTTTGCATCAGAGTGGAACGAGGATGTCTCAACTGTGCCTCTGTTTCTGCTTTATGTTCGTTTTCGTTTCAGGTCTGATTTGCTTATTTTGAAGAACATCAAACAGGCAGTGGAGATGCGCAATAGTGTGTGCCATAGTGCCACAATATATGCAAATGCACTAATGCATGCGGGGACCACTGTCGACACGTTTTTGAGAGAGAACCTGGTTCGTATTATTGCCTTATCCTTTGTTCTTTTGCTGATTCTCATAATGTTTCCTAGATGGAGTCCACTATGGACTTCAGTACCACTGTGAACCCGATCAACAAAAAAGACGTATGATTTTGTCGACCCACATAACAACCCTCGGAATATTGTCTTACATTGACTGAAACGAATGGGGTGTATTCGTTGTCGGTCGGTAGTTTGTATTTATTGCTGCATCCTTCACTCTTACTGCATACTTGCAACCCTACTGCGTGCCGCACCATTTGGTGCACCATACAGGGTCCGGTCCAGGACCTTCTAGTCTGGCCTGCAGGCGCGTGCCTGTACCATACAGGACTGCAGTAAGAGTCTTGCCTCTTGCTCATTCTTACATTCTTTCATATACAAGGCATGCTGCTGGAGGCACATAGTGGGTTATGAAATCAAGTAACACTTGTGAGCAGAATAGGAAAATGCCAGAAGTCTATGCTGGGCAGGCGCCCGCCTGGGCAAGCCCGGTCGTACACGCCCAGACTGGCAGGCAAGGGGACACTTGCTCGGGAAAACTGGGCCGGGTCAAAAACAGGGAAAGGATTCACAAAGTGAAAGTTCTGACTTTAGGCCGGGATTGCATGTGGCCTGAGGAGTACTAATCCAGCCTGATCTCCCAATTTGGTGATAGGTCACCAAGGGGAGTTTGGGGGTTAATGAACAGGGTTGAAGGGGTTTGAAGGGGTATGCAGAGAACTTAGCTCAAAATCTGTGGATACAAAGGACAAGCTCGTACTTTTCTGAGTCCAGATCCAGGGGTCAAACCTTGCGTCTCTTGTTGTCTTAGAGGCGTCTGAAAAAGTCCTGAGGTCAATATGTACTGGGTCCATGGTTATGCAATCCGACTCGCTCTCCTCTTTGCTTCTTCGCATACATGCAAACAGATGGCAACTCACACTGGCGCCAAGCGCCCACTCAAAGCTCAGAGATATGGACGTCGAGAACACAGTTCAGATGCAAACTCACTTTAACAGGCTATGGTGTACATCCGAATTCTCGTCACTGTGTCCAACACCACTGTTCGCACATACTCAACTCTGGATCACCCTGAATACCCACACGCATTCACTGTATCACACACTCGTACACACACACTAACTTGTAACACTAGCTATGGCGGCTATGGCCGCCGGCTACTACTACTATAGCACACTGACTCCTTCTAGCCCACTTCGACCTCGGGCATCTGCAGACCACCTCGCACAAGACGCTCGGGCAGCGCTTCCGCATGGCTCACGCAGAGGAATGAATGAATGGCTGGGCGCTGCCTCTTGATTTATACTTCTGTAAGTCATCGGTCTGCCCCTTTTTCCAACGGGCCCAAGGTGCACAGAGTCCCTCATGGTACTTGCTGGCTGTGCAAAGTGAGACTGGGACTGGGTACCGCTGACTAAGCGAAGTTGGACTCACCAATTGCCCACTTGCCTCTGACTGAATGTGAGGGACTCTCGAAAGGCCACTCCCAGACCTTCCAAAGTTTGTGGGCCTCTCGGGACTGTAGCAGCTATGACGTTGACCTTTCAAAACTTCAACAGCTACGGTCTCTACACAGCTATGACCCCTACTCGACAGACCTACAGCTCGAACCCTTACAACTACACAGACGTACGAAAGATAACAGCCAACAACCAAAGCACAGGTCGCAGGTTCAAACACTCAGGGGTCAACTCGATACTGTACACGGTTAAGGTAAGGTCTGGGGATCGAACTCTGGGACCCGCCTCTGTGACTGCAAAAAGGGAAAACCGGTTCAGTTAAAAGATGCTGCCTGTACCCTATACCAGCTTGGTCGATTCCAGGAAAATAAGAAGTCAGGGTTAAAAGATGCTGCCTGTACCCTATACCAGCTTGGTCGATTCCAGGAAAATAAGAAGTCAGGGTTAAAAGATGCTGCCTGTACCCTATGCCTCGGGTAAAGTAGGTCAAGAGTCAGATATTTATCAGGAGTCAGATATGTTTTTACCAGGATTTTTTGAATATTTCTGATTTTTTTCGTCTTTCCTACTACTGCTTCTGTTTTTCTTCGTTTCTCCTTTGTCTTCTTCTTCTTCTCCTCCTCCTCCTCCACCTCCTCCTGCTCCTGTGCGCTCTTTGCATCGTCTTTCGCTTCCTGCTCCGCCTTCCGTGGACTCTTCACATATAGTCTCTGAGGATCCTACACAGACATATGTTGGTTTTCTGCGGATTATCCATTGTACTACATAGTATATAACCCCGTGCTTTTGCGGGTAATGGGAATCAAACCCGTATGGGCCGCATCATTATAACTTGGAAGGCCGGGGGTTACAGTTGATTTGAAAAAAATAATCTCTCGAAATCCCTGCTACAGAACGAAACGTGGAACTTCGATTTCATACGGCAATAGACTATATTCCTATTTTATGATCATCAATCAATATTCTCATTATATATAGATGGGGTGTGAACCGACAGTCTGTAGAGTTTTCCATCTGGTGTAGGTGAGTGATAGTCTACTTTGATTTTGGTTAAGGTAGATTATCATTTACAGTGTAATCAGTGAGGGGATTCTGCAGACTGTTGAGGGTTCAGCCTCCTGATG